GACTGACTTGTAAATTAATGACTTATGTTTTCTTCTGGTGCCAGTTTGCTCTTGTTTATGGTATTAAAACAAGCGATTGCTTTCAAACTCACCTGAATTTAATGGATTCTTGGCTTGCGGCCCACTGTGCAGTTGGGCATGTGCCATTTTGAGGCCCAAATGGATTCAAATTCTGTGTCAGAGCGCATGAATATGCACGTATTGATAGGGTAGTGTCTTGCCCGTCTACAGAAATATTTGGCTTGATATACATAGGATTCAGAAATTGGCGTGAGCTGCATAACTCGTTGTGTTGAACTCACCGGCCCGTCACGCTTGTGCGTGATCAGTCAATCACCTTGAGGGTGCAAACACTGACGGTGGTATTCTGATTGGAATCTCACGACATGTGAAGGGCGGCATTTGGAAGGCTGCATAGCAATGAGCACAGCGGAAATTTCAGTGTGGGAAGTTGATGTTGATGCCTTGAACTCCGTCGTGGATGTGGTGCCTGTAGCCTTCAGATTACATGTTGGTATTGGTTGACACACTTGGATGGGTATCCACCTCATATAGAACATATATAAACCCAGTGGAAGGGATGGCTGTATTTGAGGACAAGCCACGCCTGCCCAACAAGCCAATTTGCCCACACCAAAAAGGCCATCATGGCCAAATTGCGATGTTTTTCATCCTCAGGACATAATACATCACCTGAGGGGTGTTTCATTGGCCTAAGGGAACAAAGTAATACATCCAGGAGCTATTTACATCGGTATATCCCCAAGATATTATGCCCAGAACTCAATTTATCAATTTTCGCTATTTTCACCCTATTATTGCACTGTAATAGGCTCTAATGTATCCCAGTTGACTTCAAAGAACCTATAACAACATGCCTATAAGGTTAGACCATCCAAAATGGTTTGATTATGAGCCAGGGAAGGGTTGATGTCCAAAATTCCCTTTTTGGGAAGAAAGCATTAGTGCCCCAAAAAGGAAATTCATCCAAGATAACATATGTGCAGTATGCATGGTATGTGTGGTATTATCAGATGTGTACTACCAGAAGATGTGTATGCATGTGGGTAACGCACAAGGCACACACAGTATTTTTGGTACCCATGGTACGTGTGGTATTTGAGCTTTTGAGTTTTCTTGTGAAATACCATATGTACCTCTGGAAAATGTGTGTAACGCATAAGGTACTCGTGGTATTTTTTTGTGTGCCAACATTTCTGATGGCGGGATTGGGGTGGTGCCGATGGTGCCGACCCACCATGTGGTATCCATGGTATACACAGCCGCAGACAGCAGGCATGCCATCACCAGTCACACATGTGGGGTATGCGGGGTAATTTTCTCTTGGCACGTCACGACATGTTGTGCCCCGTGGTATGTGTGGTACCACAGCCACAGGCGGCGCGCCCCCCGCCCCTACGTGGTCACCCTGTCACGCGTTGCATCAAGAAGGTATAAGAGGTATTTTTCATACCCCTCATGTCAGTAAACGTATCGTGGTATGCATGGTATGGGAGACACCGCCACTAATTCCATTAGGTTAGATTCTGACTATGAGTAAAAAAGCATGCGTGTACCATTTTGGTGGTATTCAGGGTACAAAAATCAAATTTTCACCCAGGACATGTCAAGGTGCGTATGGTATAGCTGAGGGATGAAAATATACGTTTTTCAGCCTAATTAGGCTGCACGATGGGGGGGTATGTTCAGCCTAATTAGACAGGATATGTGGTATTATCAGGTGGAATTTAGCGCATTCGGGCACTGCAGAAGAAATTTGCCGCAGGGTGGCTGTGTAAGTGCCGCAACCACCTGCCGCAGGTGGTTTTACAATCCATGCGGCACTTGTTTATGCCATTATGCGGGTGGTACTATTGTAAGATTCACATTGGACACCATTATTCACATACGAATGTAAGTAAACGGGCTGTTTAAATCAAGGCCTACAGCCTGAGCATGTCAATGGGGATTTTAGAACAGACTGTTCACTGTTGTGTGCACCAGATATATAAATAAGGTCTAATGTTGAGTGAAATTGATGAGCCGTAGTGCTATGAACCATATAGCACGACTGTGACTGGAATCAATCACTGAAATCTTTACATCTGGCGAGTGGTGACGGCAATGACCGTGCAGTCCAAGTTGAATTCAGTTGACGGTGGGGGTCCGGCTTATGCTGATGAGTGATAATGTACAAGTGAGTTCTGCGGAGACCCCAATACTGACGGTACAAGCACTAGATGCTTCGACGTGAGCAGGAATTACCACTGGGCATGATTGCCGCGGCATGTTGAATGTTGGCAAATTGTTGGTGAAGTGCCGCAGACTGCCGCTGACAAGTCACGCTGCCGCGGCGTCACGCCGCAGGACTGCCGCAGACTGACGCAGAATGGCTGCGGCAAAACACGAGACTGCCGCAGCTGTGCATAAGTTTGCCGCAGCCATGCATGTGTTTGCCGCATGTATTGCCGCAAAGTGCCGCAGCAACTCACGTTGCATTTGTTTGGTTGCCGCAGAGTGCCGCAGGTTGCCGCAGCCAAGTCGCTTCTTAAGGCCCCAAGACATTGAAACTTATGGGGTCCATATACAAGAGTATGTAGCGACCAATTTTATCAGGAATTGGAATCTCTGATGTCCTTGTGGCCGTCGATACATGCAGTTTTATTTTTATTTCTGCGGCAGTGCAACACAATTGCCGCAGAGTGCCGCAGCGGCAAATGCTGCGGCACTTTATCTTTGCCCCTAATATCGGGCAGTTCCGAATATAGTTTGAGGAGGAAAACTTCGCGGATGTCCATGAGTGCCGGATGGTCACAAACAAACATAGCGTGAGCTGGATCTTCGATGTGCACTTGACAGAAACGACACAGGCGCCATTTTCTCGGAACCGTTTTCTTTCCACGCTCCTTCCATCGGCGCCGTTCAACTGCGAGACTGTGGCTTGACGAGACCATCCGTGTAACCGCTTTGCAATGATCCGGAACCTTCACACTGAGGTAGTGCCGAAAGTCCAGGGGTTTCTTCACCAGTTTTCCTGTCTCGCTATCCATCTCCAAGCGATCAACGTTCACTCGAGAGGACGTGTTTATTGTATCCTCCACCCATGTTTCCATTGACCATTTAACCTCCTGCATAGCAGAGTCGATGGTGTCGGTCGTAAGCTCCAGGGATATATATCCAATTCAACTGGCACATGGAGACGAGATAGAACAATTCGGAGATCATTGATCCACGACATTTTTTGGTCCCGAGCAAGCGTAAGGGAATCCTGCAGAGCATTCCACGCGGGCCGTCTTGTGTCAAGTGTTAGCACATAAGCGAGGTACTTCAGGGCCAGGTATACTCGACGGTATTTAATCGGCCATATTCCAGTCTCCGAGAATAACACTACTTTTATGCACCGCGATCCAAGGCCGAGCATCCGCCGTAAGAATTTACATTGGACCTTTTCAAGCATTGCTAGACCTTTGACGTCGACATCGAGACATATATCGCAGCCCGCCGTAAGGTATGGGTCCACTCGCGCCATGTACAAGGTTCTCCGTCCCACGCCGGCAGTGTGCCTAGGAAACGTCCCAGCCCCAGCATAATATAGGCGACTTTGGGAGCTTTCTTTGCCTTTACTTGGTACTGCTCCCTCTACATATATTTCGTACCAGTTTGGAACCATATTCCCAGGTATGAGGCTTTCTTAACTTGCAAGATATGCTTCCCCCTCATGTGGAATGATGGGTACCTGTTCTGTCTGCACCCAAAGATTTGGTACAGGCATTTTGGGACCGAGGTTTCGCAGCCATTATTGTCGGACCATGTCTGTGCTCCATTGAGGTGCGTTTATTCAATATTGGAAATAGGAACTCCATTGAGTTCAATATTGTCAGGATGCCAGGTCAGGATGAAGTCAGACATAAATAAATTCCAGAATTGAAGTGAGCCCGGATCTCCCGTTAAAATCCCCAGCAACAATCTGAACTCGTGTCCGAAGCGACCGTCCAAACGTACAATGGAGCGAATGCGGTCGTATAGCAATTTTAGCCACCCAATCATCGGGCCTGAGATACCCAATGACGCGAGTTTCACCCATAGTGTGGGCCGGTCCATTCCTGGGAAAGCATTCTTGAGATCCAAGTAGGCTACGTACAACGGTTTGTTGAGATCGGCGGCTTTGTCAATGAGACAGGTGAGCACAAATGGGTTGTCGTTGGTCCGCAGATTTTCTTGAAATCCGTTCTGAGTAACTGGGACAGCACCAATGTCTTCTGCAGCCTCTCTGAGCCTGCGATCGATAATAGGTGTGAACATTTTCAACATGCAGCACTCCAATGCGATAAGCCAATAGCTGGAAGGTTCCGCAGCATCTTTATCTTTTTTGAGGATACCAATGAGGAGTGATATTAACCAGAGCTTAGGCACGTCTCGATTGCAAAGACAAAATAAGAAGAAGGCAAGAAGTTTCTCGTTGGGGATTGCAAGACAGTCTGCGTTCGAAAACGCATCCACTCCAATGGCGGTATCCAGCCCGTGGTCTTTTATGTGGCGCTTCATCCATTCGCCTTCCTCGAGGCAGATCTCGCGGGTATACGACTGGCGGGGCGATATATCTCTTAGCTCAGGTTTCAGCTGTTGCGCCATGTCGGCATTGAACGCCAGCTGGTCCGAATTGAACGACGCGGGTGTTATCTCTGGATAAAATCCGTTGATAGGGCCTCCCAGAGGATGATTCAAACCTCCACCTTCCATTTATCCTTCGGGATTGAGCAATCATGGAGAGTGGGTGATGTGCCAAATTCATCTACGAGGGCTATTCACCCAACATCTGATTCGAGACGTGGTTTTATTCATCCTGACACACGTAACCCTCTGCATATAGATCTTTCCCGCACACATTTCCTCACCTGGTTTGTGGCCTTCTGCCTGAAATTCAATGTTGATTGCATGCATTGTTGTGATAGATTGGAAAAAAAAAACAAGAGAAAAGAAGTACGGTGGGAACCACCATATACCCTCGGGAGGATTCGAACCTTCGCCTCCCTTTTAATTGGTTCCAGAGGTTATTGGCGGCTAATGGGTGATAGTACCAGCTCATCCAAGAGGGCTTATTTCCTTAATTTCGAACTCAGGGGCATAGATAGTCCCAGCGGCTGTTTTTTTCCCCGCGATCTTGGGCACATTCGAGGTAGATGCAGGATCAATCCTAGGTGAAATTTGTTTTCTAAGCGGCGTTCGCAAATGTAGGATGCTATGCATTCGTAGATGCAGAGAACAGACGAAAATGCTACTAAAGATTTGAAAAAGGAACCGGCGGGTTATCCTGTCCTAAGTCATATCTATGGCCACAAGAAAGGACAGAAGGCTTCGCGGATGAACTGGCACATCACCTATCCGCCGTGCTGTGATATATAGACCCGTGTCAACGGAAGGCGAGATTTGACTCCTCATGAAGGTATGTATACATTGGCAGCTGCCTTTCTCTTGTTCACTGGTCAAGCCACAACGCAGCCCAAGGCATCCGGTTTTCAGACACTTTCTTTTCCGTCTTTTGTTTTTGAATTTGAGTAGGATAATTATACTGTTGGGGAGTAAGGAAAATATCCTTCGTAAATGCACTCGGAATTTGTGTATGGAGTGCTAGTGTTGCCGGGGTTCGGTCAGGTGTGGTTTTCCCCAAAAAATCCGAACCCGGAACCGCGCCTCAGGTTCAGTTCGTAGAGGTTCAGTTTGAGGTTCGGAACCGGTTCGAACCTCCGAACGCATATTTCTTTTTTGGCCATTTTTAAAACAAAATCTTCGCACAAAAATATCATTAGTAGAGATGGGCCAGGTATGTACTATTACTCGTCGGCCTCACCCAGAGCATCTCCGATGTGATTATTTCTATACGCATTCTTCAAGATCTGAAGGGCTTCGAACATATCGGGAGCCAGACGGTTGCGGCGCTGAGTCACAGTCAGAGATCCGTTGGAGAAGGCTCTTTTTGAAGCGGTTGCTCAACCTTGAAAGGCCAAGTAGTCCCTGGCCATGCGAGCTAGAGTCGGATATTGTGCCGAGTGATGCTGGGATACAGTTATTAGGATGAGCATTCAAAGTTCGCCTGAACGTTGAAGCTTTGTCTGCGGTCGGAAGAAAGCGGGTCAGTCAGCGGCGGCTCCCGAAATGCACCGCCACGCCCATTCGAGTTTGCTGCGCTCCATATTGTCTGTCCTCCACATCCTCTGCTGTAATGGATATCCTGATTTGAATGAGTCTCAATACATTCTACAAAACGTCTTTAAATGTCTTCGAGATCCATGCTCATGGTCATGTGACTACTCAAGTCGGGCAGATATAAACATCAGTAAACAATATTGTGACTCCTTGCGCAGCCACATTCACGACTCCGTCTGACTGTGCATGAGTCATAGCAGTAGTTAGTATATATATAGGGAGTTCTCTCACATGTAAAACTTTCACCTTTACCTCAATCTATATTGTTAACCTCAACATTTGCGTGAACTTAAGTGAAGCTAGAAGCTCATTAAGATTTACCAGCTATCCTTGAAGCAACGCTGAGGCTTGCATCAAGAGATAGTACAACAGCCTTAAGAAAACGGAGACGTTTCCCGTATTCACGTCTAACGAAGCTTTCTCGTTAGTCGGCTGTTTAACGATCCTAAGAACACGGAGACGTTTCCCGTATTCTCGTCTAACGAAGATCTATTCTCGTTAGTCGGTCGTTCAAGGTAGAACTGCGTAAGTAACTGATAGTTAATTCAATAGGGATTTTGAACAAGTATTTTATTGCCATACGGCAACACCAATATACTCAAACGCGTGCTAAATATATTACGCTCGCGCTCAGCATCCCGCGCACACGGTTTCGTTAACACTGGTGGACACATTGGGAAATTCCTTGCTTAATTGGCTCGTGATTACTCGACGCATCTACCCACATCACATCTATGGCTACTACTACGGACCAAGATACGGGTTCTGGCACTCCTACGCCTCGCACAGAGGGTGCGCCAGACTTTGAAGAGTTATTTGAGGGTCCTTTGCTTGAGGAGTATGAAGGCTCCATTGAGGATGAAAGAATCAAGCAATCAGGGAAAGTTGAGGTAATTCCGATTGTGGTAGTAACTTTCAGATCTCTGGCTAAAATTGGTTCCAATACAGAGATTCTGGCTCGGCGAGCTGAGGCTATAGCCAAAGGGGCTAATTCTATTGGGAAAGGATTCCTTTTGCAAGCCCAGAGGGCTTCGAGGAGAATGTACCAGTATGTATTCCCTCAGGAGCTTGAGCTACTTGACACTGTACTTACCCAAGTTGAAAGATTTGAACTCGTTGATGACGACTATGGGTACCGTGTGATAAAGGAGAAGTACCAGTTATTCCTTCGGATCTTGTATGATCTCCGAGCAAGTGCGGAAGACTCATTCCGGCTCGCTGGGAAAACTCCTCCTGCTCTACCTTCATGGGGCGATGATGATGATATCCTGGATGTATATGGGAAAAACTCATTTGAGATTGCTGGCGTGTGTTTTCGAGTCGAAGCCGAAAATTTTCTGTGGTTACTTGATAAGTACCATAATTTTCAAGATCGTAAACCGCAAAACCGTAATCCTGACACGACTTTCGAGGCCGCTGACTTTGCCATCTCTGGAAATACAGCAAGGGCTCAGTCAATTTCGCAGCATGGCGATTATATTGCAAAAGTGAGTGACTCTGGTACGTATCGTCCTGCAAGTGACCCGATGTCTCGTTTTGCTTCGCCGGCAAGGAATTATGGATTGCCGCGGAATAATAGACGTATGTCTGAAATCTTGAATCCCATGGCATCAATCTTCGAGGATTATGGCTCTGTTCCAATGGATTCTGCCGAAGCTGAACAGTTGAGAAGAATGACTCCACAAGGGGATTTTCGTGGGAGAGAAGGATCTCCACGCAGACACCCAGGAGCAACTCACCCGATTCCATCTTTTCGACGTGGCCGAAATGGTGCAGCGCCTGGTGGAAACCCTGATGATGGGGATGATGATGACGATGATGACCGCTCGAATCCTGGACGTCGCCGTTCAGCCCCATTCCGACTTCCTGGTGATCGCCAAAACACGGTTAATCCCGAAAAAAATGTGTATTCTGGTGGTGGGTCGAGTTCTATTAAGGAACCTCATTTTGACCTCAAACTGAAGTACGAGAACGTACCTAAATGGGACGGGAACGTTGACACGATCATAAGGTGGATGATGAAAATTAATGACATTGCCAGAGAATCCGGGACTGTCTTTCAACAGTTGGGCCGTGTGGTCCCAAAGCGGTTGGAAGGACAAGCTGAAATCTGGTACTGGTCATTACCTATCAATTACCGAAAGGAAATCGAAGTAAATTGGGATACACTGAGAGCCGCATTTTCCACATACTTCCTGAATCGTAAATGGTTAGATAGGCAGCGAGGACTCGCGAATAGAGCGTCTTACCGAGACTCCGGTCATTCCCGCGAGACCCCGAGTGAATATTTCATTCGTAAAACCGAACTGCTCAATACCGTGTATTCAATGGAAGATTCAGAAGTTATTTTGGAGGTCATGGATGGCGCACCTTCGACTTGGAACACTATCCTGACTACCCAAATGTACCGCGATGTTGTTGAATTCCAGTCTGCAATCCGCTACCATGAAGACGCTCTTATTAAACTGGACCGTCAGGACAGAGAGAGCAACTATCGTGAACGCGAACGCGATCGAGACAGGGACTACTCACGCAATAATCTGCGTGTATCGCGGGTGAATGCTGTAGGTTGGTCGTCTAATCTCGGTCCGCCACAGTTTCCAAAGGATGATCGGAATGTCTCGAAAAGAGCGACGCCAGAGTCCAAGGGAGCGAGACCCTGTCGACATTGCGGAAGCGGTAAGCACTGGGACCCGGAATGTAAGTATTCGTTCAAGGGTAATAAAGCAGCTCGCGCTAACCTTGCAACTTCAACCAGTGAAGATTTTGATGCGCAGGAAGACTACGACACCATGTATTACGAGTTAGATGAACAAACTCCGTCCTCAGATGAATCCACTCAGGGTTTTGAGAAGGCCCTTCAGATTACTGAATCCACGTCTTATCTTGCCAGCTCAAGCAACGATGAGGCGAGAAATAATTCAGCCCTGGAGGGGAATAATGAGTTGAGAAACTCTTTGGAGCATCAGATCACGGACTCATCTTCGGACACAAATACACTAGCTAAAGGTACAGAGTCTTCAGAGAATACAGCTTGTAGAAGCTATCATTCGAAGCCGGCGCTGAATAGAAATACTCGGCGACGGTTAGCGAGGGAAATTGAGGCCAAGAGTTATCATATTCGGCACTCACCGGGAGTGAGAACCGATAAGGCTCTAATTGAACTCCGCAAGCATATGGCTCGACCTATTGGATGTTCCTTCCTGAGAGCGCAACCCACAGAGACTACTGCGACTGTTGGTGGGTTAGAGATTGACCCTATAAAAATCATTGTCGACACAGGCGCGGATATTACCTTGATTGCGCAAAAGACTTTGGACAACTTGACTCATCCACCGAAAATTAGAGCTGGCCAGGACATCAAGCTCATTCAGATCACAGGGAAGTCGTCTATCTCCGGTTTCGTTATCCTGGATTTATTCTTTCACACAGAGGATGGACCTGTGAAGTTGACTGTTGAAGCGTATGTCGTAAAGGGCATGACGACACCGTTTATCCTGGGAAATGATTTCACTGATCAATATTCAATATCAGTCATACGAGAGGAAGGAGAAACTTATCTGCAATTTGGAAACTCCGGTAGAAGAATTCAGGTTGAGACTTCCACTTCCACCTCGTTGAGTGACGAGGAGGGTCATGCTTTTAAAGTCAAGGTTCAACCAGGACTTCAGCAGCGAGGCCCAAAGGCGAATATTCATCGTAGGAACCAGAAGCTAAGTCGAAAATCGCGATTACGACGCCAAAATTCGGATGTGTGGGCCAAGCAGAGAGTGGTAATTGCGCCCGAAACTAGTGTTGCAATTCCAGTCCAGCTGACATTTCCGAAGGGACAAAAGTCGGTTTTTGTGGAAAGACATTTTGAAACCCACGGAAATTTCGACGAGATACACGG